GTATGTACCATAGTTTGGTTATCCATTCCTCAGATGATGGACATCTAGGTTGTTTCCATGTTTTAGCTATTGTAAATAGTGCTGCAATGAACATGGGTGTGCATATATCTGTTCTAGTCATGGCTCTCATTTCTTTAGGGTATATACCTAGTAATGGGATGGCTGGGTCAAATGCCTTAACTACCTTTCTTTTATAAAATGACAATTAGTTTGCTAGTGCTGCCTTAACGAAATAACACAAACTTGTTGGCTTTAAAGAACAAATTATTTTCTCACAGTTTTGGAGGCTAGAAGTCAAATTCAGGACCTCTCTCTGTCCATGCTAGAAGATCCTTTATTGTCTGTTGCTGCAGGCATCTCTTGGCATTCCTTGGCTTGTGGATGGATCCTCACATGATGTTTCCCCTTTCTATGACCCTGAATCTGTCTTCCTCTTTTATAAGACACCAGTTATAAAGGATTAGGACCCACCCTACTCAGATATGACTTAACTGATAATATTTTCAAAGGACGACCCTGTTTTCCCAAAGCAAAGTCATGTTCACAGGTATAGAGGTTAAGACATCAATATGTCTTTTTGGCAAACACAATTAAGAACATGCAACAGCATTGGAATAAAATATCTCTAAGGTTTGTTCTTATAGTTTTGTAAAATGAAGCCTGGATTCCTGCTTCTGAAATCCTGCCTGATTGTTTGCTCACTAACATAGTTTTTGGATCCCATGTGATGGGAAACTCCAGCTAAATGCATTCTCTTTATACATAGCTCAGCCCTCTATTCCAAATGTGTGTTTGAACTAGGTCATGGACAAATCTCTAAAATTCATTTTATTTATTTTTTATTGAATCTTAGCAGAGAGGTGGTGATAACTGGTGTCTTTGTTTTCTAGTGTTGCTACGATAGGAATACCACAAGTAGATGACTTTAACAAACAGGAATTCATTGTTTTACAGTGCAAGATGCTAGAAGTCCTCATTCAGAGTGCTGAGTCTAGGGGTTGGGTGAAGGCCCTTTGACCTTGGGCTTCAGCTCTGCCTCTTGTTCCAGGCCTGCTGGAACTGGAGGCATCTCCTAATTCATGCAGCTGCCGGCTGCTGATGCTGACGAACCCAAGGTCAGCAGGTAAAATGGCACAATCCCAAGATTAAAAGGCAACACAGCAGGCCACTGGTTCAAGTCTAGGAACTGGAGATGAAGGTTTAGCCAAACGCAGGATCCAAATGTGCTAAAAAGCTATGATATTTTCAATCGCCTCATATGCATGTGAGGAGATTGAAGAAGAATTGATCCTTTTGATATCTGGTGCTGGTGAAGAATGCTGAAAGTACCTTGGACTGCTAAAAGAACTAACAAATCTGACCTGGAAGAAATGCAGCCGAAATGCTCCTTGGAAGTAAGAATGCCCAGACTTCGTCTCACCTACTTTGGTCATGTTGTCAAAAAGGACCATTCCCTGGAGAAGGATGTCATGCTTGGTAAGGTGGAGGGTTGACGAGGAAGGGTAAGGCCCTCAACGAGATGGATTGACACAGTGGCTGCAGCTATGGGGTCAAGTATAGTGGAGATCGCGGAGCTGGCCCTGGACCGGACAGTGTTTCGTTCTGCTGTGCATAGAGTCGCTATGAGTCTGAGGTGACTTGACAGCACATAATAACAACAACAACAAGTTTCCCTGCTCCCTTATCTTCTCATCTTTGGTTTTGATTAACTGTTGACCTTTTGTTTTCATACTGATGGTTTTTAAGTAGGGCACCAATCTTGCAGGTAATACCCTTTATTTTGTGTGCAGCGCTGCTATTTCACTAAAAAGTAATCTTGGGATAGGCTCAGTTCCAGGTTTAAAGACTGTTTGAGGGAGCTAAGTCTCAGGGAGTATTCTATTCTCTATTGTTCCAGTTTTTTTTTTTTTTGGTTAAGAAT